CCACAGATAATACATAAAATGCAATCATCAGAAGTGATCAAATATAAAATAGCATAGAAAATATGAGATAATTTGAATGAAAATAAACAAAAGCCTAAGACACAAAACCGCAAAGCGAAGAGTATATAATCAAAAACTATTGAACTATCCATTACATTGACTATTGTAACAAAATTTCCTTACCAGGACTTTAAACATCGGTACAGAACTAAACTTAAGCGCGTCATCGATACTATTGTATATAGTAACAGCATTATATGAAAAAGATTTTCTAAATAAGGATAAACGAAACTTAGGAAGAGAAAGTTTATTAGTGAACCTCGTATTTAAATCATGCAAATCACGCCTAAAGACTAATTTTCTTTTCAGGTAAGCAGGGCTCTGTGATGATAAAATACGGTGAACTAAAATAGAAGTATAATATTTATGAGTATATTCCAGTTTTAACCATTTTAACTCATTTATTTTAGCTGAGATTCGATCAAACTTTTTGAGCCTAAAAACAAATCTACAACAGCAATTTTGCACCTTTTGAAGTCTGTATTTCAAAATAGACGTTAAGAAGGGATAATAAAGCGTGATTGCATGATTTAAAATAGGTAATACTAGGCTCTCTGAGAGCTTTTTACGTAATTTAAAATTTAAAATACCACCATTTCGATACAGTAGCCTTAAAACTAGGTAAGTCTTTTTCACTAATAGTGAGACGTACTCTTCAAATCTGAGCTTACAGTCGAAAATAACACCAAGATTTTTTGCACTTTTAACTACTGAGACTGATTTTCCATTTAATGTTAAGTCGATATGCTGCATAAAAATTTCATAACATGGCGGAGAGAAGATAACAACTTGACATTTATCTGGATTGAGGTTTAAGTTGTGATTAAATGAATATTTTTGAATATTTTCTAAATCTTGATTAATATAAGCAGATGCGGTATTTATAAATCTAGGATCGAACGACAGGTATAATTGTGTGTCATCAGCATAACCTTGTATCTTGCAATAAGTGATAGTTTTAAAAATATCAGACATATATATAATAAATAGCAAAGGTCCTAATATGGAGCCTTGAGGGACTCCAGAAGTCACAGGCTGGAAGTCAGAATACGAGCTATTATCAACCACAACACACTGGTAACGGCCCTGAAGGTAAGATTTGAAAAGTCGGCAGCCCAATTGATTTATACCATAATATCGTAACTTTGCAAGAAGTAAGCAGTGATCAATCGTATCAAACGCCTTCGAAAAATCAAGAAATACAAGAGCTGTAGCAAGGCCAGCGTCGAGAGATCTAATAATATCATCTGATACATTTAAAAGGAGCGAAGTTGTGCTATAGCCCCTTCTGAATCCAGACTGTGATTCAGGTATAATTTGGTTAGAAATCACAAATTCATATAACTGTAAATAGATCACCTTCTCTAGTACTTTAGACAGAGCAGGCAGTATACTAATTGGTCTTAAGTCTTTATATACAGACGGTATGCTTATTTTGGGCAAAGGTTTTATAAGAGCATATTTCCATAAACTCGGATAATAACCAACCTCTATGCAGCAATTTATAATATGAGTTATGTGTGGGGCAGTTACAGAAATAGAGTATTGTAGCATTTTTGCACTAATTTCGTCCACACCATATGCGCTAGACGTTAGATCAAGAACCAGTTTTTTTACTTCATCCACATTAGCAAAATTAATAGAAAAAGAAATATTAGAAAATTTGGCTGAATTATAAAATGCAGTAGCTTCAGGACAGCTATTTGATGGACTAAAGACTGAAAGAAAATGACTATTAATTTCAAAAGGTTCTTTTAGCTGTAGAGGTATATCTGTATTATGTTTTCTTTTGATATTGAGGCGATTGACTGCTTGCCAGAGATCCCTATAGTTACGACAGTTTAGTGTTGATGACAAAAATACAGCTTTTTCATGTCTCAAAGCAGAGCACACATAATTGCGTAATTCTTTATATATAGCAAAGTCCGACAGTTTACCGGATTTTTTATACTTTTGCAAAGCTTGTTCCCTTTTTTTCATCATAGCTTTGAGGTTAGGGGTAACCCACGGAGCAAAAGGTTTTGTTATGCGAGAGGTTCTAACAGGGGCATGTCTGTCAAAAAGATCGACTATTAGATTATTAAACAGCGCTACTTTAACATCGAGATTATTTATATAGAAAATATCATTCCAAGGTAAATTTACTAAGTCTGAATTGAAAGCATCATACGAAAAATTTCTGTAATCTCTGTATTTTAATATGAACGGCTTAGGACGCGATGTTCGGTGTGAGAGCTCACAGTAGATTGCTTTGTGATCAGATATGCCAAAACTATCAATAACACCCGAGTTTACAACTCTTTCATTTGCACTGGTAAAAATTAAGTCAATTATCGTTTGTGATAAGGCAGTTATTCTAGTTGGCTCTGTAATGAGTTGATGGAAATCATATGAAATAAAGCAATGATTGACTTCGTTATCATACGATTGATCGACGTTGAAATCTCCAAGAACTATAATGTGATCAAACTGGGGAGTAATAAAGGAAAGGACATTGTCCAGATAATCCAAAAAATCCTTATTGCTTACTGATGGGGGCCTATAAATTACACCAATTATCAATACCTCACCATGCGTTTTTATAGACAACCAGATGTGCTCAATTCCCAGAAAACCATCAAAATCTTGAAGTATTTGCTTGCAAGCCATAGAGTTTTTAAAATAGATCCCAACTCCTCCACCCCTGGTAGAGCGATCATTTCTAAGTAAAAAGAATCCTGGAATACCAACTGCTCCACTAGAGATATCACTGTTCAACCAAGTTTCAGAAACGCACATAACATCAAAGTCAAAATCCAATACTAGATGAACAAAACAATCAAAATGAGTGAAAATAGATCTGCAATTCAAGTGGCCAATTTTTATGTTTTTATTGTTCATATTGAATTCTATCCTTAAGTTGTCCTAATTTGTTAAGGTAGCACAAACATTGAGTGCTATTAGCTGAATGGTCAGTAGGAAAATTTGTTTTAAACTTATTGTTGGAAGTCTTACAGTTAATACAACAGAGATCAGAAGAAATGCAGTCGCGCTTTTCATGATTCCCTGAACATTGAGGACAAATCGTAGCTGAACTCTTGCAATCTTTTTTATAATGCCCATAGTTATAGCACTTGAAACATTTTGCAACATTAAAATGCTCCTTTACATTACATCTTTTCCAACCTATATATAAAAATCCTTTGCCCATAACATTTTTAAAAATAGAAGGAGTAACTTCAAGGACAACATTGATACCGTCCTTAAATTTAAAATTAGTAACCACACGAATATCAGCTTCCGTAGCATCTAATTCATTATCTGCGATGATAATTTCAGAAAGGCGGGCATCCTCGGCAGCTGATTTATCAACACTGTAGACTACAATCTTCGGACGAAGTTTTTTCGGCTCATAAACATTAAATGCATTTCCAGCTTGCCTCTTGAGACCATCTTTCAAATTTTGAAGCGACTTGACATCAGCACAGTTGACTAGCACGCCATCCCTAATGAGTCTAGTACCAGTAACATTCGCATTTAGTTGACTCGGCCTGAATTTAGACTTCAGCTCCTGCTCCAATTTTGCGTTCCCCATGTTTATGTCAGTGGGTTTAATAACCAGCACAGCTGATGGCGAGACTTTTTTTGCTGCTTGCGAGTATGTGTTTACCAACGACGAGTTCGGAAAAAAACCAACAGCCGAATTCAGTGTAGAGGAAACAGCAGGCGTTTTAGATTTCAAAATAGTATTAGAAAATTCTAGTTCACTCACATACTTTTCTAGCAATTGCTTTTCTCGTGCAAGGCAATCAATTTCTTTATGCAAGAGCAGCACATCGGTACTGCTACTAGACACCTTGCCGTCTCCCAAACAATATTTACAACGGAATTCTTCCTTTTTCATTGGCACAATCTTGGCAATTGAATCGAAACATTTTCCATGTACGTTAGAAGAGTATCACATGCACTATTAGTACACTTAACTTCACTTAGCGAACAAAATTTAGCACAGAATTTGCATTTATTGTCAGGAGGTTTTGCCGGATCGACCGGCTGGCTCGACATCTTGTCTAGAATTGTTACCGGTAATCTGTATAATTCAGGTATTCTATACAATACCCAGACAATGTATAGGATACCTGGGTTAGTCAGGCAAAGTATGAAATATTATGAATATTATGATCCATTACATACTTTACCTAGGTAACGAATACAATTCCTAGGGATTGTATAGAGTACCTGCTGTTCCACCGGCATTCAAACTTCCAAAGAGCTATAACTTTGTTACTTTAATTTTACCAGAAAAATGGTAAAGGAAAAAAACATTTCTTTTGATCAGATCTACTCACTGTTAAAATAAATGACTCAACTTCGAAGTCACCCTGTATATGAAAAGTAAAATACACCATAAAAAACAAAATCCAAGATGACTGCCGCTCAGTGATGGGCGTTTACGCGTATACATTAATTGTCTTCGTCTCTGTCTCAGAATATAATCATAAGTGAGGTTAGGTTTATTGGCAAACGTCAGAAACTAGGTGAACTGAAAAAAATATGGTTGGACGCCCTAAGATCAAAGAAATCGATGGACTATGTAGTGTCGTGTAAATAGTATTATTATTTACGTTCGTTTCCAGTCACACAATGATACACAGATATCTCGGTACGACCTTCTCCCGACGGGTGTGCTCGACCGACTGACTCGCTGATAAGACGGCAACTCCGTCTCCGTCGTTCACCCAGCGGGGGAATAGATCTTTTATTCATTCAATATACTACATCCCTTCTTTGTTTACATTATTTTACATATATAGTAACAAATCAGTTATAACTACCCTATATTGTTTGAATGCATTTAACAACTAAAGTACTACCTTACTAACTAACAATGACAACTTAATACCTAGCTGAAAGTATATAATTTTATTTAATGGCCTGTGTGAAATGTACAATGTTACGACTTAAGTATGGTGTTCATTATTTTGCTCAAGTGAAGTTTCCTCATCCCCTGCAGTGTTTATTACTTTCCATTGCCCCTCTGTCTTTTTTAAATGGACGACATTACGTCTGTATTGCTGGCCAGTTTCGTCGTTTTCTACTTGGACGTCACTACCATTTTTCTTTACCACCGTATGAGGGGTTGAGTTGAAATTTGGTACCAACTTATTTTCCTTTACTGTATTTTTTACGTAAACTTTATCTCCTATTCGGATGTCATCCGCTTTTGCTTTTCTTTTGGCGTCGCTGTATTTCTTGCCCCAAAATTTGTTCATCAAATCATTGTCTCGAGTTTCTTCGTCTACGATAGAACTGTTCAAAGTTGGAATTGCTGGTATTTTGTCTCGGAATTGCCTCCTAAAGAAAAGTTCTGCTGGTGGTTTTCCTGTTGTTGTATGTGGTGTTGCGTTATACATCATTAGGTAATCCAACAGGTCCTGCTTCCAGTCGGTTTTCTGTATTCGACTGATTTTGAGCCTTTTTAAAATGTCTCTATTCTGTCGCTCGACTTGTCCATTCTGCTGGGGCCAGTATGGTATCGTGTTATATACCTTAATTCCTGCATCCTTACAGAATTGTGTGATTTCCTCACAAATAAATTGCTTCCCATTATCTGCTGTAATCGAAACTGGGAAACCTAGCCTAGAGAAGATTTCTTTGAGGCAGCTAACTGTATTAGATGCTGTTATGGACTTCATAACTTTTATTTCTTTATAACGACTAAAGTAGTCGATGACCACAAATAGATAATGGCCACTCGGTAGAGGGCCTAGGAAGTCTACCGCCACATCAATCCATGATTCTGTAGGTAGTTCACGTCGCTTCATTGGGGTGGGCGCATTTGGTATAGATACCAACGTACACCCTTTACAGGCTCTTACGAACTTCTCTGCATCTGTGTCCATTTTAGGCCACCAAACTTTAGTACGTAAACGGTTCTTCATTCCCACTATTCCGGATGGCCTTCGTGGGCTGCTTGAAGAACTGCAAGTCTTAAATCAGCAGGAATCACTATTCTGGTTCCTCTCAGAAGGATGTTGTCATAGAAACACAACTCTGGTATGAATGCTTGGAAGGGTTTCGTTTTTTCATCGAATTCGTTTGAGTAAATCATTTTGTAAACCTTCCGAATTTCTTCGTCGGTGTTGGATTTTTCTTTGATTTGTGATAATGATAATGCCATGGGTCGTGAATATTCTACAATTTGATGGATATGCTCCCCCTCATCAAAAGAATTTTCTTTTGGTGCTAATTTACAAAGCCTGGAGAGGGGATCGGCAATATTGCTTTTACCTGGACGATATATAACTACAAAGTTGTACGACTGTAGCCTCAAAACCCAACGCTCTATTCGGGCACAAGGTTTTGATTTTATACTAAAAATTACTTCGAGCGGTTTATGATCTGTAACCACTCGAACTTGTCCTTTCCATATAGATATATATGGAAATGTTCAACTGCCCAGACCAATGCCAGGGCTTCTTTCTCTGTTTGACAATATCTTTTTTCACAATCAGACAAGCTTTTATTCCCATAAGCAATTACCCTTGGCCCTTCTAAATCGTACTGTATTAGGACAGCCCCCAGCCCTACAGGACTTGCATCGGCTATAACCTGAGTCCTGTCTTTAGGGTCATAGTAACCTAACGATTTAATTTTACACAAGCATTCTTTCAACAGGTTAAAACTGCATTTTTGTTCATCCTTAAAATATTTGGATATATTTGCATGTTTTGCTAATTTTAGTCGCAATAATTTCCTTAGAGGCTCTGTCATAGACGCTAAATTAGCGATCCATTTACCTATATAATTAACAAGTCCTAGAAAACTCTGCAACTCGTCCACAGTTTCCGGGCATCGGAAAGTTTTGATTACCGATATGTATTTATCAAGCGGCTTGATGCCTTGTCTTGATAGTTCGTGTCCCAGAAATTTTATGACAGCAATATTGTAAACACATTTATTCTCATTGAGAAGGACATTGTTTTCTTTCAAAATATTGAGTGTAAATTTCAATCTTCTATTATGTTCCAGTTCGTTTTCGCCGTATACGACTATGTCGTCTATAAAATTTACAGTTCCTTCGCAGTGAGTCAGAATGCGTTCCATTATTTTTTGGAAAATTTCTGGGGCACACGAAATACCAAACATTAAACGCTTATATCTGAAAAGACCCTTGCTGGATATAAATGTAGTAATAGGTCTCGATGCTTCGCTAATTTCGATTTGATGGAAAGCACTTTTTACGTCCAGCCTTGAAAAAAGTCTTGCTTTTCTGAAGTTTGGCATCATCTGATCCATTGTTGGTAATGGATGATTTTCTCTTAGTATCGCCATATTTGCTCTTCTCATATCGATACAAAGTCTAACTTCCCCATCTGGTTTTAGAATAGGTACCATAGGTGATACCCATCTGGAAGGGCCATCTACTGGTTCAATTATGTCTGAATTTACCATTTCCTCAATTTTTTTAAGCACTCTGGTTTCAAGGGGGATTGGTATCCTGCGATATGGCTGAATCACTGGTTTTATGCTCTGATCAATGGGAATATCGACTACAACATTTTTAAACTTGGGAAAAGCAGATATGGCATTAACCTCTGATTGAGCAGAAATTCCAATCCGTAGGACACCTAAAGACTTCGCTGTATCTTTTCCTAAAAGGTTTCTCGTACCATTTTGTACTACGTAAAAAGTCGTCCGAGTTACAAACTCGCTTACCTTAATCTCAGCATCAAAACACCCAAGAATAGTTAAGGGTTCTTTGCTAGCATAAGCCATGAGAATTTTCTTGGGTCGTTTTATTTGATTTGACACCGATACCTGCGAATTCTTTAGGTACGTCCATGTTTCGTCATTTAATATGTTACACTTGCTACCAGAATCGATTACCATCTGAACTGGTATACCTCCAATCATACATAATATGTCACAATCATTGTCAATGTGGAACACATAGTTTGTATTGTGATCGTCGTCGTCCTTGTCTGGCTCTCTGTATCTTGATTTCTTGACCGTTGTGCTCTCATAGTGTGTTCTTCTTTTCCCCGGCTTAGTTCTGCACTGATTGCTGACGTGTCCTTTGTAGCCGCATTTCTTGCAAATTTTCTCTCTTGCTGGACAGTTAAAAGATATGTGGCCTTTTGAGCCACAACGAAAACATGATTTTATCTCTGAGGCTCTAAATTTTTGTTTAGTATTATTGTTTATTTGGTTCACTTCAATGCCTGTTTTCTTTTCAGCAAATTCTTCCATTTGTCTTGATACTGCTTCCAATGCATTTGCTTCAGCAACAATGTTTTCTAATGAGATGGAGTCTCCAATTGTTAATATTTTCTTCCGAAGGTCAGATGAGCTGCATTTTTCAACGATTTGGTCTATAATGTTTTCTTCGGTGTTGCTAAATACGCATTTCTCTGTCTGATTTCTCAGCCGCACAAGGAATTTTTCGAACTTTTCATCCATCTCCTGTTTTATTAGCCGAAAAACATGTCTTTCGTACACCTTGCTTTGTTTTGGTGCGAAATATTCATCTAGCTTTCTTATAGCTATCTCGTAGACATTCACTGGATTTTCAACGTCTTCGGTTTGTTCAGAAATATGAGCTCCAGGTAGGTTGTAATATATTTCTTGTAACCCTAGCCCACCGATGTGTAGCAAATTTGCTCTCTTCTTAGCGGGGCTGTCGATGTTAGCTGCTTCTAGATACACTTCTAGTGCTCTTTTCCACTTTTGCCATCTGACAGCTACCGAGCAAACTTGTCCATCGCAGTCAAAAGGCTCCAACGAGTTTAATGTTGACATGATGGCCTGAAATTAAATGTAATTGCTACTATTGTGTAAACAAAACTCACATTGTATGCATATACATTTTAGGATCGATGGATCTTATAAGTCAAATTCATTCTTTGTTCATATATGTGTCATATTCAGCAAAGCTACGCAGTGTTATGTATCATATTCATATTCATGCCTTGATGTATCTTATTCATCAAAGTAGCCCAACACATACATATACATTCAACGTTCGATGTGTCCTATTCATCGAGGTCGTTCGTCTTGACTTTGGTGTTTCTTATTCACCAGTTATACAGTGTTATGTATCATATTCATAATCACTGATTTGATGTATCTGATCCATCAAAATTATACTTTATGCAACCTATGTATCATATTCATGGTTACTTCTTCCATGTATCATATTCATGAAAGTTATTCTTTGCTTAGTGCTGTGTCATATTCATAGATTATCAAAACAACTTTTTTTTTTCTCTCGCAGTTTATCTTTTCTGCCTTTTCTACGTGTTTTGACACTTAATCTTAAGTACCTTGATCAATACTTTAATTGCGGAGTAAATGTACCCACATACCTTTTGTCCTCGTCGCCAATATGTAGTGTCGTGTAAATAGTATTATTATTTACGTTCGTTTCCAGTCACACAATGATACACAGATATCTCGGTACGACCTTCTCCCGACGGGTGTGCTCGACCGACTGACTCGCTGATAAGACGGCAACTCCGTCTCCGTCGTTCACCCAGCGGGGGAATAGATCTTTTATTCATTCAATATACTACAGACTAGGTTCTATTATATATATATATACAATGTGCCCATCACTGCTGCCGCTCCACAAAAAAATGATTATTACATATTTGAGCTCGATCATAATGAAAAATAAATAATGACTCAGAAACCTTAGCACATTTATCTGCAGACCACTTACTGCTGTTAAAATTTAATAAATCTAATGTTGTGGTATTCGGAAGGAGTCCTAATTATCTATGAGATAGGTGAGACCGGGAATGGTTGACTATAGGGGTAGGTAGACTAACCGCCAAAAACTCGTCAGCGATATTTCGTCATCCCGGCCCAGCCGCGCATTACTCTCCGACCCCCGCTCAATCGTCCGGAGCGCCACGTCGCGGATGCATGCCGTTTTCGAGCAGTGACAGGCGATTTGTAATGTAAGTAATATTTTCTTATTACATATATTTCCATCTGACACTTACATATTTTATGTTAACCATTTGCCTATTAGTCATAGTGTTTCGTGAGTGCATATTGATAATATTTCACTTATTATTTTTTAAGTTGATGGCATGTTTAGGTAACCCATGCCATTGAAACTTAAAATGGCGTCTGGGGTTGGTAGACTTCTTTCGGGGGCTGGTTGAATAGTTAGTCAACCAACCTCAATATAATTTGAAGTTTAAAATATCTCGTACATTAACCTTTTATTCGTGTTTTAATATTCATTTTGTTACAGTACAATGAGGACCTATAAAGGAAGGACTGAACAAGCTGATACACCAAAGGATGTCCTAGAAAGAGTTTGTCATCTAATAATTTTTGACAGAAAAAGTATAAATGCAACTTCAAAACAATATGACATCGTTATGTGGCGAAACTAAAGGAGAATTTGGAACGTAATCTGAACTTGGCGAGTGCAAAATTAACTTTGGACTCAGTGGGATATATTAAAAATTGGCAAGTTTTCACTGATGAAAAAGAAGAAGCTTTAACAAGTTATTTAAAGAAAGCCGCTGACATTTATTATGGATTGACACCATATGAGACCCGAAAATGAGCATGTCAGTTCGCCATAAAAAGTAACAAAGCTATACCTCATTCTTGGCGAAGATTGGTTAGGCTCGTTTCTCAAACGTCATCCTTCTTTATCCATAAGAACATCTCAAGCAACAAGCCTGTCAAGAGCTACAACATTCAACAAACATAACGTCAGTATGTTCTTAGCTAATTTAACTGCTGTTTATCAACGTTTGAATTTAAGCCCGGTTGATATCTGGAACGTTGATGAAACAGGTATGACAACCGTGCTAGTACATAATAGAGTGATAGAACGACGTGATGTTAAAAATCTATAGGATGTGAAGGTGATGCTAATCCGTCTGGCTGGATGAAAGAAGAGATTTTTATGAAGTACGCCAAACATTTCGTGAAACATGTTAAACCTAGTAAAGAAAAACCTGTACTTTTGTTGTTGGATAACCATGACTCTCACTTATCAATTGAAGCGTTGGATTACTTTAAAGCTAATGGGGTGACAGTTTTATCATTCCCTCCACATTATAGCCACAAGATATAAACTCTTGACAGATATGTGTACGGACCATTGAAAAAGTTCTTCAACCGAGCATGTGACATCTGGCTGGCTAGTAATCCGGGAAAGACTATCACAATTTATGAAACACCGGAGCCGGTGAAAACGTCACTAACATTGGCTGTTACAATTGAAAATATTCAATCAGGATTCGGAGTATTAGGGATTTCACCATTGAATGAAAACATTTTTCCAGACTCCGAGTTTAGTGGTTCTTATGTGACAGCTAGGCCGATGCTTACTTCCCCTGATGGTGATAATCCTTCAGCATGTGATGTGAGCACAGTGTCTGTTCCATCGACTTCCGATGCATCTTACAGGTTGTCTATCGTCGAAGAGGTTCCAATTCCTGATCACCATACAGTAACTGCAATTGCAATGTTTATCTGTAAATACAGACCAGATTACTACCACAATACCCTTTCCTACAAGATCTTTGAGGACTAAATGTGAGTCACCTTTTTTTTTGACGAAACCTTTAATTCTGTATTTGAACAGGAACTGAGAGAAAACCTCAAAACACCAGAAAACGATCATTCTACAGAAGCAAATGTGCCCCCATCTTTACACAATTTAAACCTTTCCTCAACTTCATCACCGACATTTGAAGAGCTAAGAGCCTTTCCAAAAGCGACGCCACTTTTAGAAAATAGAAGAAATATTCGGAAACGTGAAAGTACTATCTATACCGACACCCCGGAAAAAGTAAATCTTTTAGATATGAAAAACAAAAGAGAAACACATAAGAAGAAAAAAACAGATACAAAACACAGAATAGAAAAAGGAAAAGGGAAGGGCAAAGGAAAAGGAAAGGGCAAAAGAAAAGGAAAGGGTAAAGGAAAGGGAACGGATGAAGTTGATGAGATTGCTGATGACACTGTCGATGAAAATGACGGTAATTAAGATTTAGATGACGAGAGTACGATTTGTCTGGAGTGCACTGAATCCTACGTCGATAGTGTTCCAGGCGAACAATGGCTTCAGTGCATACCTTGTAAGTGTTATGGGCTCATTCCAAATGTGTAGGAGGTGATCTAATGTTTTTTAAATGCAAACATTGCGCTTCTGATATTGAAGACTTATAAGATATAAAGGAACTGTTTAATTAATGATACTAATAAATATTTAAATGAAAACTGAGTTGATAGTTTTGTTAAAGACTTATTGTAAGATAATGTCTGTAACTGATTAAAATTGTTTTTGAATAAAAAGTTTTGTTAAATTATAAAAAAAGTTTCATAACTTGACTCTTCTCATACTTTGTCACTTATTGATACGTAAGTCGACTTACCCCGGGCATATAGTCAATCTACCCCGGAGCCGGGCTAAATTGACTAAGAATTGGTGTTTTGTAAAATGCGTTAAATTATGATCATTATATTGAATAATGGACCAGTTTTTTATATTTTTTTCTAAGTTCAATAGTTCTTCTATCCATTGATGCAGTTTTATTGTCTGTATGTATAAAAGCACAAAAATATGTATAATGTTGTAAAAAACTAGTCAACCATCCCCGGTCTCCCCTAATTTATTGAAATCTATTGAAATCAAAAATTTTAAATTAGAGATTGAAAACTTCGCTGAAAAGCTAGGACTCATAGTTGACAATAACAAATGTATTCAAGTGGCTTACTTTTTATTAAAACTTTTATCTTCCCACAGAACTTATGTTGCATGTGAAACTAAAAGTTAGCTTTGTTTGCTTGAGCCATGACATACCTACTCGAATACGAGAGCAGTACATGACCTCAATATCCGTTACAAAAATAATATTTCGACTCCGTCACAAAACGTCTGTATACCAAAGAAGCTTCAAATAAAACATATACATAACCTACATCTCAATCCCTAGACACTTCAATCCTTTAAATGTTTCCAGATTTAAGAAAACTGCGAGGAAAGTCAATTTAGATGAATCTAGTTGGTCGTTTACTGCTGCGCTCCAAGCTGTACATATGAACTTTCAGTTAGGTTACGTACAGTTAGTATTGTATCAATTTTCTTTGTTATAAAAACCAAGAAAATGATAAATTTAACCTATTATACATATTCATCAAAGTTTTGAATGTAGATTGCGTGACTTTATCTTATAGTGTGAATGGTAGAGCACCCTGTGGAGAATTTTTTTTAATTTAAAATGTCATAATATTGTCAACGACATGGGTATAAACTGTCCTGTCTCACAATCCTTATTGGCATCACGATAAAATAGCATTGCGCCGTGATAATTCTAATAACAGACCCTCCTTCCCAAATTTTAGCAGTGTTTTGGGCATGCTGGTTTACTGTTCAAGACTAGCTGTAACTGCCATTTTTTTCATTGGAATCTCCTGTCATTAAAAGTTTATAGGTATAATATAATTTTTTACGTATTTTTCGTTAATGAAGTGCTTTGTATTGATCAATATTTTAATTTAACCTGAAAGGTTTTTAATACCGTTTACTAATAACAAACTTTCCTCCTCGCCTACATTTCTTTGTTTGTACTTGGTATAAGCCACTAACAATAAAATTCCTGGTGCTGAAATTGAAATTATGTACACTTCTACGATAATGAGCAAGTATCCAGACTATGAAAAGTTAAATCATTCGTTAACTGTACGTGAAGCTCATAAGCTAATATCGGTACACAAATCGATTTAAATTTAACACAAGCTCGAATAGAAACTAATGGGTGATGTCGAAGGGAAATTGATGACAAGCCAGAGTATGTGGTGGGGTGCTCTGGAACATAAGCGCAGTAACAAGGTACATTCCTATTAAGAAAAGGGGTCCATAAAACTCTCATTGAGAAAGTTCAAGAATTCGGTATCAGCTACGTCCATTATGGCCTCGTGAATTGATCAGATCTGCTACGTTGAACTGATCTCAATATTGCATTGTGCTCATCTGATTTTTTCCGATTGAAGAAACCGAAGGCTAACATAGGCCCGGTTTTTCAATCGTAAGTTAAACTCAAATTTTCTGCTCACCAGAAGTTAACTTTCAAAAGGAGGACCATATATGGAATTACTGTAAAGTTGCGGTTAAACTGCAATGTCTAGCATAATGTTCCTGTCAGTAACATAAGTTGTCATGCAGGCATAAAAGCAGGGTTACTACATCCACAGTTATCGATTGTTAACTACAACTTGAAAAACGGAGTCACAGACAACAGATAGTCACCTTCCAAGTCATATTTACCTGACTTGAAAGTTAACCAGAGGTTGAGTGGCCGGGCCAATTCGCCATTGGATGTAGCTATCAAAAAGTTCAATGGCGCCTCTAATAGATGTGATGTACATTCTGCTTCATTGAGTAGTATTTGTTATCTAAGATACTCTATTGAACAACAGGCTCAGCCCCGTTATACTCAAGTGTGTAAGTCAGTAGGACGTATAATCAAGCGCGACTGTAAGCACACGAGGCCGCGGCCAGCACTCTGAACAGATTCACATAGTGCATTATTAAGGCCATCTTAATTTGATTTTCTCAATATTAGCTACAACCATAATATAAAAAAGATAAAAGGATTTGATAAAATTAGCCATCTGGCAACGTTGTGACAAACCTCCCCAACCAGCCAACAGTTACACACGTTCATTGACCTGGGAGTGATGTACGCTGCACGGGAAATAATGTTTTGATAGGTGTCAGCATTATCTGAGCTGAAAGCTTATAGACATACTAACGTCAAAAAATAGAGCTATACTCCAACCATGCTCTACAATTCCCAATTTTTAACCCCTACACCATTCTTTCCAAAAGTGATCAGGAACCGTTAGTTTCAGTGATTTCATCAATTTTAACTATAAAGAATTTTCGTTCTTGGCATATTAGTAATTTTGTGTAATCGTCAAAACCTGACCAAGTTATAGCGGAGCCAAGGATTAGCGGACAGACCGGCAGGCAGATATACTCGTACATGCCGACGAACAGACGGACGGAAACGAATAACACGGTTTCTCTTGATGTATACAGGGTGTTCCATAATTATTGCGACAAAATGATAGGGGTTGTAGAGGGCATAAAAATATGCAATTTTGCCTTATAAACCCCTGTTCGTAAATATGCCGTTTGAGCACTACAGTTAATTTTACCTTAAGAGCTCATAGGAGAAACAAAAAATTCACCAGCTGCAAAATGTTCGTCTAGCACATTTCATGGTCTCACCGGTTTGTAAAAAAAGCCTGCTGTGTTTACATTTTTGTTATCGTACACCCGTACCACCTTTTAAAAGTCCAAGCCATGGGTCCAGCAGACTATCTGCCGCGTCGACGTTTTTGTCCTTGGTGGCTGCAGCAGGAGTTGAGGCAACCAAACTTTGGTCGCTAAGTTTTGTTCACTGACGAGTCCTGTTTTACAAAGGACGGTTATTTTAATAGCCATAACAGTCACATTTGGGATGAAGAAAACCCTCATGCCATAGCCATCCATAGAGACCAACATCAGTTTTCAATTAACATCTGGTGCGGCATTGTGGACGAGCATATCATCGGGCCATATCTGCTTCCACCACGTTTGGATGGGCATGCTTATGGTCGATCCTTACAGCATGTGCTACCGGAACTATTACAAAATGTGCCACTGAATATAAGAGCCAACATGTGGTTTCAACACCATGGCGGTCTAGCCCACTTTTCTTTACAAGTGCGGCAGTATTTGGACGACAAATTTCCAAATAGGTGGATAGGCCGAGGTGGCCCTGTGCCTTGGCCTGCGCGGTCACTTGACCTGACCCCACTGGATTATTTTATCTGGAGCTATCTGAAAGCTTTAGTGTACGAAACTCCTGTTCCCAACCAACAAGAGCTACTGGGAAGAGTGATGGCCGCGTCCGCACATGTTCAGGACATACCGGGGCTATGCCACAGAGTTCGCCGATCATTGAACAATCGTGCACAGCTGTGTATTGAGCAAGGTGGAGGACACTTTGAGCAATTACTGTAGGTAAGCTGTTTCAAGAAACTGATCTTTTTTTTTTGCTGCAGCCCAAACGGCATATTTCCGAACAGGGGTTTATAAGGAAAAATTGTTCATTTTGATGCCCTCTACAACCCCTATCATTTTGTCGCAATAATTATGGATCACCCTGTATAACAAAAAATGTCTTTATTTGACAAACAGCAGAACAAATGTAACTTAAAAAATGAGAACAAAAGTTTTTCGGAAGGTGAAGTTCAGATGTACATCACTAAAGTGATGCACATCAGTTCTGCCACTTGACCCTTTAATCATATTAAATTCCGAGTAATCATTACCAAAAGACTACCCTGATAATAATTCCATTATATGAGTATACTCAATGAAATACTGACTTGTACGACTTAATTATTATTTCGCTTTGCTTGGGGGCTAATACTTGCTTGACAAAGCAATATTAAATTTTGTAATTTCGTTTGGGAAACCTTTATACACACTATAAATCTGAGGGAAAGCTTTGCTTAAAAAATTCATTATGAATCTTAAATCTAATCATCGGTGCGGTATTTTAATTTATTATAGAGATGTATCGGTTGTTT